TTGTGTTTGATTGTTAAAACAAAAAATATTTGTTCTTTGTCTCAAATTGTGTTAATTGTAAATACTGTGGTTAAATAAAAAAATAAAAAAAATTCTATTGCTTTTTGTTTTAAAAAAGGTCAATAATTATCGATACCGAACGATATGAAACATTATATCGTTGATACATTTTTTTAGCTATATCGCCCAGCCCTAGTAGGAAGTGAGCCCAAAAACGTTTGTTTGTGGATAAACATTTTTTAAAAATTAGGATATATTCCTTAGACTTATTGGAAGTGTCAGTATAGTAGCAACTAATATATTTAAACTAAAAGATTGTGTGTTTAACCATATGAGAGTATAAATTGGACCAAAACTTCTGAATTATTTCACAAGACAAAAATGAATCTTTTAATGATTCATTCGCACCAATAAAGTGGACTGTTTTGGTAAGACATCTAATAGGTCACATGTCATAGCTCAGATTGAATAAAAGTTCCAGTCTTTTGAGTATGTTTTCATAGAATATCAAACTCTTTTATTAGAGTTTGAAATGGAGTCAAGTACGCTGATCTGTGTGTGTTTGTGTGCTGCAGGTGATTCTGAAGACGAGGGAACTCTCCGAGAAGGAACTCAAGATGAAACAGCCGCTGATGGATTCGCCGTGCCATCAGAAGGTCTGACCAATCACGAGTCTCGAACCCATCTGATAGTAGAGCAGCACCCAGAGCGTTAGCATGCAGGCCTGTGTTCTCCTCGTCGATTGGCTGAATCACTCGCTGTGCATTTTACTACACAGTTTAACCCTGTTCTCTGATCAGATTCCATTCATTTAGATCTGATCGTTCTCTTCTCCTTCCACCTCTTTCTCTGCTCGATGTTTAACATTTATGCTCTTCCTGTTTGTCTCTCTCGTCCCGCCCCTTCCTGTCGGATAGTCTCCCTCAAAATGGTACTGGAAGCTGGTGCCTGTAAGTGCCACAGCGCCCCCTGCATCCGTCACGTCACGCTGCAGGAAAAGCGTGACTAGATGTTGTGTGTGTGTGTGTCGTTGTGCATCTCATGCGTTCATCCGTCTGTCCATCTCTCTCTCGTTTTGTCTCTGTCTGTCTCAGCCTGATCTCATGAACGCTTTGGCCCATTGCATGCTGGAACCGGTGGAATTCTCTCGTGTGGTACAGTACTCGTGCTCTCTCACATACGCATACTCAAGGTCTGCACGAACCCAAACCCAGTGCTTTTTTTTTTTTTTTAATTACAAACAAAAACCTGATGACGATTGGAGTCCTT